GGAATGTTCCATGTTCCATGTTCCATGTTCCTGGTTTTATCGACGGCCTAGAAAGTGCATGTAATTATTCTTAAACCCACAAGCAAGCGAAAGTACTAACGGCTTGAGCTTGACAATTTATTAAGCGACACCGTAGTCGCATAAGCATCACAACGAACAAGTTGAGATTTCATTGTTTTGTACCGGACATTTGACTGGCTCGATTTGAAAATAGGACATTTGATTGGCTGGATTTGAAAATGTTGGAATCTATTGCTTTAGTTATGCTATCTGATTGGTTTTCATTGTCTGGGTGGCCGTGGTTTCAGTAAACGCACTGTAACGTGTCTGTTATTAAACTTGTGACCCTGCAGGTCTGCTTTGATCCTGGGAAATCCTCTTAGAGGCCAAGGTCACGTTCTTGATATCTATATTGAGACATATTGAGTGTCACCGTGCATCTCTCTTAATCAGGTCAAATATTTTCCACTAATTCTTGCATAGCAATGATGTTTGTTCGTTTGTAAAGCCGATTGCCCCCTCCCCCCGANTTAAGGAAACATTCTTATATCGCTTTGATTACTTCTCATTAAAAGAGAGTTCGGTCCTGTTTTATTTGGCACTAAAGCAATGCAGGGTTTTTTTTTCTGGTAGATGAACAGTCAATCAGCCAGAGAAGCAATTTTTAACAGCTTATTTTGAACTGACTGTTTGTCGTTGGAAAGAACAATTGATATTCAACTTCGTACCTCACATAAGTCCTTGCTATCGCCGGTATTTTGGTGTTGAGGACTGGTAGTGGTTTCCAGTGAGTCCCCTGTTCCACACAACACCAACAAAGCAGCAAAATACACAAACTGTGCCATGCTTCAGAGGTAAAACGGCAACAGTGCCAACAGTACTTCACGTCTGTGTGATGTGAACTCGTTTGGTTTCGTAACTGGCTCCGTGATGGTATGTGGTATTTAATTCCATGGAATGCAATTTATGTGACGTCCGTGAGCAAATTAAAGATAAGTTAGGTGTGGCTGAAAGAACATAAGTCACGAGGACTCTTTTGAAGAGATTAAGAGACCTCTGATAAAGCACTTACGAGCAGGAGATAAGATGGTTATTTATTGCTGACACACTGACGTATTGTTGACTGCTTTATCTTCCCACCAAGTCCCCTCCTATCCCACGAGAGGAAGTTGAGTTCTCCAATGAAAAGAAGAGCTCAATAGATTTTGCTTCTGGCGTTACATAGAGTAGGATTTTACTTCCATTTTGAAGAACTTTGTGACGGTTTTTCGTTTCAGTGTGACAACTAAGGTACGAATTTTGATAGCAAGTCTGAAAAATATATCGAGAATCAGATCTTTTTGTCAGTGCACGTGAAGCATGGATAAGGAATTCGAAGACCCACGACACTCAACCAGATGTTCCTCGTGTTAAAACGATTTAATTACTATTCAGTGAAACAAATTCACTCCACTGGTAAAGTTTTCAAGTAACTCGGCTGATATCATTTTTATATTTATTTTCTGCGATAGGAAAGACTTGAAGAGGATTCCAGAACAGCCAAAAAATCATCTGAAATTGCATTATTCAACCAAAACAATGTCAGGGCCATTTCCTTACTATGTCACGGAAAAAACATGGCGGATATTGTCGTAAGGTTTTCATATTCTTCTTTAAACACAAGGCAATGGTTTAAAAGTATATTTTCTAAAAGCCACCAATGTATTCTTTGTTTCGTCTGAAGCAGAGAATAAAGTACAAAGCGAACACACAGACTAAAGCTTTGCCGCATTTAATTTGAGATTATCAGGTCTAACAGCAATGATAAGAATTGAATCTGTAGAATGATTATAATTCGCAGCGGAACTCTTTGATAATTGACGATGTTTTTAGTAACGTTTGTTTCTGAATGAACATCACGACACAAATGTGAAGAATGGATTCCTTTTTCATAAACTTAGTGAACAAAACAGTCAATTTAATAAATACAGCGTTGAAGCTAAGTAATAACGTTGCCAGATCTTCTATTTGAAAGCTGTCGTATCTGAGATGAATGATAAACTTTATTAATTTCAAGCACGAACGCGGAGACGAAATTAGACTGGGTTGAAGGTGATACCTATCATTGCTTACTGTCCTTACTTTTACACGTTTCTCATTACAATTTAACTCAAACAAAAAAAAATGTTCGAGGAGTCAGGACAGGCCAGTTCTTAGCCGTTCTCGTCCTCTCGCGGTCGAGCCGTACACGCGGGCATCTGGGAGGGGTGACGTCAATACATCTCGACCCAAATCGACAGCTTCGTCTCTAGTCAACGGAGATAAGAACACGTGGGTATTTCTTACAAGAAAGGCTCAAGTGCTCATTGGTGATCAGGTTAGTGTGAAGTGATTCATACAGGTGTTTACAGATATGTCCTCGACGTAATAACATGACAGCTCTTACAACAACATCAGAGGATTCTTCACATCTGAAGCCAATTATGGGAGAAAATTCGTGAAATATTACTCTACTCAGTATTCATGGACCGGGTCGTGTAACGGCTCAGCTTGATACCCTCTTGGAGGACAATAGAACAAACAACAGTGTCAATGTCCCTAGCTCTACATGACAGCTGCTACAATAATTTAACAATTGCAGCTTTCGAGATCTGCTACTCCTCTGCATGGAACAGCGTCACTAGTTGTGGAGCTTAAGGAAGATTAAGCGACAAGTACTACAACAATTACAAGTTAACAGTTTTATTTTACAAGAGATGGCGATGGCGAGTTCATTTCAATGCGCCCTTACAATTTTTACATGATCACTTTGAGACTGACGGAATGAAATCAGTCTACAGTAGTTCAAACCCAAGGTATGGCCGGCGGCTAATATTCTGTTAATAGACTCCAAAGTTTACATTGAAAGTGATCCGTTTTGTCTTTCCCGTTACTGTGTTACAATCAAAATTACGCAGAAGGTAACGAGAATATAAGAGTGCATAACTGGGAAACGAGCAAACGGCTGGCATTTTCGGCTACGTTCGATATATTTCTCAGGCAAAACAAGACTACAGTCCAGGTAACTGGCCAGACATGTTTTTGTTTTTGAATATCCACACAATCGCAAGTCATTCTGCTTATTAAAAACGTATTTTCACGTGAAGCCGTTCCAGAATATTGTCCCAACCTTGAAAACACTGATGGTACCACAAGATGTTCTCAATGTATATGTGAGTCTACCTACAGAGTTTTAAAGTTCTTTCAAGGTTTTTTTTAAGGTGTGGTTCTGATGTCAAGATTAGGCCTGCATTTTTCGTCCAGCGATTTTCCAGTTCCTTTTCGTGGTACAAGCATGGAGCTTGCAGAGAGCTTCTGAGCAATGGCTTACCGGACGAACACGCAGTTAACACTTCTTCGGAAATCTTCGAAAACCTCTGTATAGTTCTATAAATCACGAGCACATTCAACTGAGGACAGCCCATGATGCTCAGCAGTGGTGTTGCTAAGCAACATGACTTCACGATAACGTTTGCAGAAGGAGTATCGAAAGCTTTCTTGTTATCTGTTGTAGTTCATTCATCGGAGACATTTCAAGTACCACACACCACTTCGATGAAGATTTTTCCAAAACTGAAGTTATACCCTGATTCCAATTACGAGCAGAGAAATCAGCTGGCATCTTGTATTTATTCCAGAAAATCGCTGTTATACCCTGATTCCAATTATGAGCAGAGAAATCAGCTGGCATCTTGTATTTATTCCAGAAAATCGCTGTTAATTTATTGACAAAAGATTCCAGACATCTCTTTGTTCTCTGCTGTTATTTGCAACTATACAGTCTTACTTTCCTTGCACACTTTCCACGCACACTTGCTCCCAGTTCAACAGTTGTCATAACGAAACCTTGAACTTCCGTTCTGCGACGATGTCACATGTCTGCCGCGTGCTTCACATGTGATCTTGACTTGTCATCCAGTCACGACCACTAGGCATACAATTACGCAGACGAAGAATTACTTTGCTCTCTACCAATGACCAAGTCTGCTTGCTCGATAATCTGAAAAGACAAAGATCACAATGAAAAGAAGCTAAAAAAAGAGTACAGTAGACAGAGAAATGGGAGGGACGCCAGTGAGTAAGGGAGGAATCATCTTAACTGATACACGGTAAAACTGCACCACAGAGAGTAATCACCAAGAACTGGACTACCTTTATGAGGCTAATCTGTAGAACACCGAAGGAAAAAAAAATTTTTTTTCCAAATTGCCCATTGGTAAAATTCTCATATACAAACAGTATCACGTATCAGTACTGCTTACTCTTAGAATTTGACCAACAAATTACAAAAAAAAACACCAAAATATTACATAATGTAACTTGGTAAAGCAGAGACTAATTTACCGGATCAAAGTTGACATTCGCGAAGAGTCCCTGAATGAATCTTCGAATGTGAATCCTGAACGTGTACAAACCCAAGATGTCTGACACTTCACAGTACAGACAAAGATCTTGGAACAGATGTGAACATTTCTCTTTTAACCTGAAATGAGAATGAGATGTTTGACTTCAAAACATATGAACTTTGGGCACAGTATGGCGTTTGCGCAGTTTGAACCACGAGAAAGTGTCCAGACAAAAGGTTCACTAAGCAGTAGAATAGGTCTGCACGTGCGTTATACATCTCGCTGTCCTCTACAAAACAACAGCGTAAAATGGCCAAATTCTGGGTTTTAAGGAGAATGTCTACCTGGACGTTTCATTTGCTATGTTTCTATTTGGGCAGCTTAACAAAGTCTATTTGCAACTTCCTCCTTCTTCGCTAAAAAGATCAACGCATGTTATAATTCATAACAACAATGTCACTTTGTAACCAGATCTAAATATTTCAGGACTTTTCAAGACTTCCAAGGACCATAAAACCAAATTTCAAGAACACATCAACATATGACCTTTTGAATGAAAATGGCAGAGTAGCAAGAGATAAAATGAAACAAACATCGATATTTTTTGGACCTTCACACAAGAGTTTCACTTTTGAAGGCTACGCTTTGAATTTTGAACTCTACGGGTGCAAATGATCCCCGCAGTAACAAGCAGGGGACAAGCACGCGAGAGCTGAGTACTGGAAAAAGACGTCAAAAGCTTCGTGTTGCTTGGTCAGTAGAGATTCCAAAAGACTTACTTCACAAGCTCCTCTTGATGTGACCGAGAAGCTACCACGCTGCTCAAAGACGCTACTATTCTCAGGATCTCGTCACGAATCAGTCTTTTTCCTTCCTTTGTGTGTTCATCAAGTTTACTTTTGTTGACTGGTGTGTTGGTTAAACTAAGAGATGACCTACTTTCTGATTCGGCCAAAGAACACTTGCCAATGGCATCTGCGCGCTCAAACTTCAACAGAAAGAAACGCAGTTAGATCATAGTTTTGGCGCTTGACAAAACTGCAGTTACCCAGGCAAACACGAGAGCAGTCCAAATAGATCGGTGAGTTTTTTATACATCTTGTGCGCTTTGTCAAATTAATTGGAACAACATTAGTGCAGAGTTAACATCTCTTAACCTGGACACACGAAACACAATGTCCCCAGTCGTACGATGCAAACCCAATGTCTCTGCGGTAGACTTGCTAGAAGTCGTTCATATATACCGTCATAGATGTTTCAAAGGGAGAACAAGTGGGTTTAAGCGTGTTCGACGCGCAAGGATATACTAACCTCGCGTGTCGCACTCGCGTAAACCATTATGCTCGCACAAAGAAACCGTTGGTTATAACAAAGCCAAAGACTTTGGCCAACTCTAGCTTAGCGATTTTGAAGTGAAAGCAAGTTCGGCAGATAGAAGCTCGTAATCAAAACAAATTACGTCATCTGTAAATAGCTATGTCCACGTGACTATGCAGTTTTTTTTAATATTCAACAAAATGGCAAGTGGTTTTGCACGAACTCATAGAACGGTTTTCAATTGAGCGTCACAAAACCAAAACCAAAGCAATTACAGCGGTTTTCAATTGAGTGTGGAAAGTAATGTGGTTTTGGTTTTACCACGGTTCGAGATTGGCTGAGTAGTCTAATTGGTAAGTAATTGGTTTGGTTTGGGTTTTACGACACTCAATTGAAAACCGCTCTATTTACCAATTAATCTGCTCGGCCAATCTTAAACCATAGTTAAACCAACGTAATTACCTAATTACTTTTGACACTTTCCGCTCTGTCAAGCCAAAACCAATTACAGTGATCGTGCATTACTCAAAGGGTGGTTCATGAAGCCTAGCAATGAACAATTAAACAAAAAATACCTTTGCCTCCATTACAGGAGTTAATCGGTTCCACTCTCCCTCACTCACTTGATCTGAGGACTTAGTTCTGTCTCTCCCAGTCCCCGCCCAATTGGAGTACATGCAACCGAGGCAGCGTGACTTATCGTGACTGGAAGACTTTTCTTTATCTTTTGTGTTGAAGACAAATGGCGGAAGAAGAGTAGGTGTGGAAACGAAATGGTCCGCCCACGAGCCTTGAAACTCATACTGTTCTGTCTGTTGTTGATCAGTAAATCAATCAATCAATCAATCAATCAACAGTCAGTGTGTCAGTGAATCCGTCAAACAAACAAACAAAGCCCGGTGAACAACTATGAAAAAGTTCACCCAAACAAATAATTGCTTTAATCACCAAGGATGGTTGCTTAGTCTTATTACCCCATTAAGGTTATCTCGGGCAGTCATGTACTCGTTTTTATTTTAAACTTATTTTTGTTCCCTTAAATTTTAGGTATAAGTACAAATAGAGTTGTTGTTGTTGTTGTTGTTAAAAGTGGAAAAAAAGAAACCTGAAGACCGTAAAAGCTCACTCAAACAAGGCAAGACACGAAGAACGAACTGAGGGTATATAAAAGTTATTTTTTTAATTTAATTTTGCTCATTTATGGTGACCTAAGTAAACAAAAAGCATCTCTAGGTCTATTTCATGTCTGTTAGTTGATTTTAAATGACAATATTCTTTTTCTCTCTCTCCTGTAAGCTTCCTCTCTATCTCCTTGAAAAAGGCCTTGAGAGGAAACAACTCTCCTTTTGCGATATACAAAGTTACGTAACAGGGGTGGTAAAGATTGCGGACAATTAACACGTGACAGTTAAAAGTCTTGAGAGTTGAGTTCTTCGAATATTGCTTGTTGTTATGGAAACAGTTGTCGTTTAGGGATTTTGTTTAGTGTGAGGAACTTTCATGGTCTTTTAACACGTCAAAGTAGAAATTGACCCTTCGTAATAACAAAATAACCCGGAAAATGAATGCACTAGATAGATAGGCCTAGAAACATAGTTACCTCAACACAATCACTTTCCTGTACAGAGACTGTCCGTGGCTAACCACTTTGCAAAGAAACTGAGAGAGAGAGCCCGAGGATTGAAATTTTAAAGGGAATTTGAATAAAGAGTTTATGGCAAATCATTGGATTAAATGGTACAGGGTTTTTTTTTTATCAGGGAGGAGGGGGAGGGGAGGGGTGGAGACCAACCATAAAATATCACTTTTCCTAACTCACCTGAAAGAGCGTGCTGAGATCAAGAGGAAGACTGAGACCGAGGAATTCATTTCCGGTATTTGTGGTGGCGGAAGTGAACTGCCGGAAGTCAAACGCGCTGGAAATGCTGGCCACACTGTCACGCTTGTTTAAACTCGAAAAATCCACAGCAGACATGGAGCGAGAGATTACGTAACTAATTAGAAAAGGAAAAAGAACGAGACAGAGAAAGATAAAGAACTCAAATCACTAACGTGGTTAAAGAACTCTATTATGTATTTTTGGCGCATAAGCAAAACTTACAGACAAAAGGTGACAGTTATCGAAGTATTAATGCGTCTCCGTATGTTGTTTATCCTTATGCACCAGTGACTACTCAAACTGGCCTCTGAAGCATGTTTTCCCGGCAGTTTTAGTGAAACTCAACTAAATTTCACGTTATCATCTCATATTTTTTCTACCACAAAGTCACCATCAAGAATTGGCCTTTGGCATTTCTTTGGATTTCATAACCAATATTACTCTCTAGCACATATCAACCTACCCAGTTCTAGCGGTACCAAAAGCATTAACTTTGGCCTCTAAATCACGATTAAAGCTTCGCTGTCGCCGTAACGTACTCAGCGCCGTGTAACCAAAAGCATCCCTCGAACTCGTGTAAGGAACAGCTTCCGTGCTCGCAGATGAATTCCGGCGAGTGTCGCCAGAAACAACAGTAAAACTCTCGACTGAACCGACCAGTCGATTTCTGTTCACAATCTTCCTCGGGGATGATCCGTCAGCTGACGAGTTTCCGCTACTCGTACTGCGCGTGCGTCTCCCACGCGACAAGTCCCCGGATTTAAGACCCAATTTCCGAGCTAAGTCTGCTTTTTCAAAAGAACTCCCTCTACTGCGCAGGTCAGTGACGTCTGATTCCTCTCCATTTAACTGACTACTGTTAACTAAAAGTCTATCCCGCCTCAGTCCACTGGCATTTGCGCTATCCACACTCAAAGCCCTTGGTTTTTTTTCAACGCCAGAACGGAACACGATAGTCTTGTCACTCAAGATTTTAACTTCAGCTAGGCTCTTCGAGCTTCCGCGTAACTCGTTCAAATTGTCCATCGGTGGAACATGGATTAGATCAGCAGAGCTTGACCGACTTTTGCTGGCGACCTTAGAAAAGTCTGTACTACCACTAAAACTCGAACTACGGGTCTCGGGTATAATCCCGAGGGAGGGGCTTCCAATGCGTCGCTTTTCCGTCAGGCTGGTGCTCCGTCTTCTTGATTCGAGATCGTTTTGAAGTAGTTCTCCCACTGGAAAAGGCTTGCGGTCCTCTACCAACGGACTTGAACTGCGGCGTAATAGTTCGTTCGAGAAGTAAGGGGGTGGAGACTCATAAGAGATCCCTTCCGGAAAGCTCTCAACGGAATAGTTTAATGTTCGCTCTTTCTCGTCAAGTGTCTTCGCAGCGTCATCTGAAGCAACGCTCAATAAACTCCGACTTGTCGGACTTTCCTGTTGGGAGTAGGCCCCAGTCTCACTCGAGCTGCTGGCGCGGCTACGCGAGGCTATATACGACATTTCTAAAAAATCACCGCTGTCCACACTTGCACTGCTCAAGTTACTTCCGGAACGCACGTGGATTGACATGTCCGTTGTTTCACTTTCGCTGCGGTTTCTAATATCTGATTTGACAACGGGATCTCTATCAGATACCGGCTTATCCGGTTGAAGGGCATATTCACTAGGGGCGCTTACAGTGTGTTTGTGCGAGGGCTTTTGTCCATGCTCGTTTGGAACACGTAAATCGCCAGTGGAATGTTCATGAACCGATTTTAATGGAGACCCAATGCGGTCCACGTTGGACACCGCCCTCCTTTTCACGTCATATATTTCAAACGACGTATTTTTCTCACCAAAACCAGCGCCGGTAAAATTTCCCTCGCTGGCATTTCTTCGATGAGACAGTTTAGTTTCCTTGTTTGTGTAAGCCATGTCAATTCCAGTTTCAGCAAAAAGTTTTTCCAGGATTCCTCCTGGAGTTGGGCGTTGGACGTCTTCAATTGTTGGTGTTGAAATGGAAGGCGACTCCTCTCCTAAATATACCCCGCTCCTCTCATCATAGAAACCGCTCTCTCGAGTTGCTATTTTTCGTCGTCTTTCTGCGTTTTTGTACCATTGCGACAAAATTCCACCCTCGCTAGCTTCATCAAGCGATGTTTTCCGAGTAGGTCCTTTGTCTTCCCCAAGGTAAATACCGCTTAGTTTGTCATACGCTGTGGACCCTTCTGCGGCTTTGTTTTCCTCTCCTAAGTAGATCCCCCCTGCGCGCTCTGTCTCACTAATACCGGTCAGTATTGACGGTCCAGGGGAACTGTGTGGTTCTAATATGTAGCTGAAGGGAATCACTTCCTCTTTATTCTCGACCGAGGTCTCTAGCACTGGCCACTTATCCTCGCCCATGTGGCGCACACTTTCCCATTCTAACTCGCGTAGGATGTCTGCGCCTTCACGAGTCTTCGCGATCAAGCCAAGAACGTAATAGCAGGTCCTGTCAATCAATCAGTCAATCAATCAACCAATCTTTCAATCAATCTCTCAATCACCCAATCAATCACCCAATCAATCACCCAATCAATCAAACAGTCAGTCAGTCAGTCAATAGTCAATCAATCAATCAATCAATCAATCAATCAATCAATCAGTTAATCGATCGGTAAGATAACGTTACCATGTAATTTCAGTCTGATTTTTATCAAATTGCCAATTGCAATCTTAGCGAGCATATGATACGGGCACCAAAAAGAACATGATTCTAATTAGTCAATCTATAAATAGATCAATTCACCAAACGTAGCAATTGCCTGTTTTAGGTCTAGTTTAGGCGACACGTCACCAAAGGGAGATTGTTTCCAACAGTAGGTGAAGCTCGGTTTGTTAGTTAGGCATTTGGTCGGTCGGTTGGTCCTTCTGTCCGTCCGTCCGTTCATCAGTCAGTCAGTTAGTCAGTCCGTCAGTTACTCAGTTCAGTCTTCCGAAGTCAGCCCAATAACAGCTGTCCTTTATTGCCGTCTAGTGGCAAAATAACTTCGCAATAATAACTAAATGTACTTGGTGGACGAAAAAAGTCTGTTATCGATAGCAAATAGGACAGTAAAGTAATATCATCAGTGCGAATAATTCTGAATATCTATTCAGCTAACACCTTAGGAATCCGAACACGATAAATGTACTTAATGTATGGTAACATTCTTTAATAAGGAAACTGTTGTTCTGAAAGTCATACCCTCGAATGGCAAAATTACCACATTCCTCAGCCAGACGAACAATCTCTGGAATGACTGCTTCCTCCACAAGAAAGTTAATACCCCAGTTTGTGGAGCCGACATGTCCCTGAAAAAATAACATCTGTCCGTGAATGGAATCGTCTTGCAAGGGGAGAGGAAAGCCGGCGGGGGTCCGTGCTGTGAAAGGGAAAGTGAGTGGTACAGAGAGAGAGGAAACAACGGGTGTAAGGATGCCCGGGGTGGGGGGGTACTTACCAAAGCCCACAGAGTTGCCTTGAGTTCCACTACTTGTTCTCTTGTTTTTGGTTCCAGTGTCTGCAGTGTCCGTGCAAACAGTTCAACATCATTCTTAAAAACGAAGTTCAAGATTGTTAAACTCTGTCGCATCTTGTCCGAAAACAACAATTCTAATTGAACTGATAGTCAGTTCCATGGCTGTGAGATACATCAACATTACAATCTAATTCGAAAAATACTTCCTTCAATTTCTTTACTACTGTGTGCTTCACAATGTATTAATATTCCGAGAAGAAATCAAATTCTAAACAATCTTGCAAAAGGGCAAAGTTGATACAGTCCAGGCCGACTTGGCCTTCATTAAGAGTGTTACAACTGCCATGTTAGAAGAACTTACAGATCGGCGCAACACATAAGAGCGGAAAACATTTTATGCTGCGTTCTACAGCTCAAGAAAACATCAAAAGATACATAAAATGTTGTCCACTAACACATCTCTGCAGAAGCTTGAAGCCATTTTTCTTCTGAACCAGCTGTCCGTACAAATGAGGCGGTAAAAATGCATCTTTTAACACCAACCTGTCACAAAGAACAATAAGCCCTCTACAGAAATGCACGATGAAACCTCTACTAACGGCTAGCTCTCTAAAACAGCCGAGCTTTTTCTTCCCAACCGTCCACCGATCCACGCAGTTAAATCTTCTTGAAATCCTCAAATAAAGGCAAACTCTCTACAAACGTCAACTAAAACAATTATCCCCCAATGTGACCAGAAAACTCTACAATTAAAGCTTTCGTAGAAGTATGTAAACCAATGATTCTAAAGTTCCCCATCACATTCTCACCCTTGATGTTTTTGAAAGTTCCAAATTATAGGTTAAACAGAATAACTACATTTGTTGAACACTATGGAGCGTATGCACATGACGTCATGGTAGCCATATTGGTGTTCCAGAACAATGAAACGGCGGCCATGTTGGTGTACCAAATCAATCCTGTGGAAGTTCAACTCTTTTCTTATGTAAACACTTTCTTCTGTTCCAATAAATTTGCATGGCTGCTGGACGCGTGAGTGAATACGCTCTATACAAGATTTTGAAAACGCTGAAGCCGCTAAATTAGATTGTCGCTAAAAAATAAGAACCGTTCGCTTATATACATGGTTATAGCAGTCATCTGAGATTCTTACCAAATGAGGAAACTATACGCTACCCACAATATCTTTACCACAACTAGTCTACGCTGGTTACGAAGTGCTACATTATGTTGCAGTTTGTGTAAAGGAAGGAATAATTATAGACCAGCAAATGGAAATAGAAAACAACCGAGAACAAGAGAAGCAGCAAACAAACATACAAACATCAGGAAGAATACTAAACTAGCTTACACAGTGACAACTTTAAACATCATTGGAAATTCGAAAATCATTATATCATGTAACAGCGATTCTGAAAGGGCCTGCTATGTCACATGTGGCATCACTCGTATTGCGTGTCACTCTTTCCCAGTTCTGACCATCCTTGTTCCGTTTTGTTATATTATTACTTTTTTCGGGTTTTCTTAATTACTACTTAGTAAACAAATATTTAGCTCGTAACTAGTAGAATCTGTGTTTCCCAGTCTTGACCGCAGACAAACAAATTACTTCCTGCGGTACTAACACGACTATGTTCCATAACTAGTGCAAATTGTTCCTCAAACGTAAGAGAAACAAAGAAGTTACAACCTTCACTAACGCACCTCTTATTTGTTCTCCTGGTAAACGTGTTGTCATCCTTCTGTTTGACGTATGACGTCAGTGACTCCGCCAGCAATTCATCCACCCAGCGGACGTACGCAATATTGTAGTGCTTCAAAGAGAACACAAAAATGGACGTACACAGATAAATATAACGCTCAAGAAGTTAGAAAAATCCAGGGTTAAGCTGATACCTCATCTGCTATTGGCCCAGCTATTGTGTTTATGGACATCTCCTCGATTTGTTTGTTCAGTTCAATCGGTTCGGTGAAATACTTATTAATTAATTTCTTTAAGGTTGCTGTGTCGAGTAAATTATTAGTATTTTATGGAAGCTCTGCTTTTAGACTTCTCGCTTACTCGAGCTGTATCAACTGTCATTCGGTCAGTTCAAGAAGGTCTGCTTAAAACAAAGTCCCTAGCCGGGTCCAAGTCGAGACAAGTTCTCTAGTGTGAACTTGCATTCGACGCCTGAATAGACTCGGCAGTTGCATAAAGGCCATTTCAATGGCTGTCGATGCATGGCAACGACAAAATTAACAACAAGATCAACCATCAAGTTGAGTGGCCAATTCATCCGATGCATGCGCATTTGAGCTTGATCAAATTGAACACAACTAATTGCAAATCAACGTAATTTACTACTTGCCTAGGCCAAACAAAACCACAACTGATAAGCTACTGCACAATACACAGCGACTGCAGTGTGTATTATGGGTTGGACCGATAAACAGGCTCACCGTTCTCCACTGATCCATCAAGGTTGTAAGATACCCTCGATGAGACAGGTATTTCAACCCACTCTCGACTGAAAGGAATCTAAAAATAAAGGATACCAATCACAGTGTTTGGCGGCTTTCAATTACAAGTCGAAAGTAATCGTCTTTGTTTTGGTACAATTCCATTCACTGAGCTGTACGATCAGTTTAGTCAAAAAACACTCATCCCATGTGCTATAAACAATGAGAGAAAACACGGAGATTTTCATCCAGTCAGGAGTAACCCACGTTTGTCACTATTCTCGAGTTTTCCCGCGTTTGACACTGGTTACATGTTTCTCCGCGTTTGACACTGGTTACATGTTTTCCTACGTCTGGCTCTGATTACAGTTCTCCTGCGATTGAAACAGGTTCCAAGTTTTCCCACAATTGTTATGATTACAAGCTTTCCCGTGCGTGGCAAAGTCTTCGCGCTTTCGGCTTAAGATAAATTCAGCTGCCAAGGATCAAAGTAAGGTCAACTGAACACCACATAAAATGAACAACGATTTCATTAAGAGAAAAGGAAAGCGCAGTGGCTGAGGGTTAATGCATTGGACTCAGTATAAAGCGGTGTAGGCGGTGTTCATGGTCAAAACACGTTACTCTCAGTTCCTCTCCCCATCTAGGATTGTAAATCGGTTACGGCGAGCTGCTGAGGCAACCACACTGAAATGCTGTTGGGAACGGGCTTGGGGAGCGGGGGCGGGGGAGGTGCAACATGTCATGGTACAGTTTTCCATCCAAGCGCAGTCAAAATACTCTAAGTGGCTTTATGTTATATAAAGAGCTATAACTGCCGGCATACATAGGTCCCCCTCCTGTACAGGATTAGATTCCTACCTCGTAAGAAGACGGAGGCCTGCCTCTCCTAAATGAAGGATCACTGGACTGAGTTCCACGAGATACTGAAGATTAGCCTGATGAAAAAGATATTCAGTATCAATATTCTCCCTACTGATCGCCATACAATTCTTAAACATTGGTTCTGAGAATATGGAAGCAAATCAAGATAACATCCTCGAGTTGATAAATGTCGTTATTTCTTGATTATTTTTTATTTGTCTCTAGTATAATTTCTTGAGTTTCACAGTCGCCTTGAAAGAGAGGTACCATGCATTCTTTGTACTGCCGGCAATATCTAGGTTTCTTTCTTTATAATCACCAAGATATTCTACCTTTAGACTCTCGGCTCGCGCCCAGCTTACCTCATCCTCACAAGCTTCATCTAACACATCAGCTGCTTCAACAGCGACTTGATTATCAGTATCGTACAACTGTTAAAACAAAGCAAAGCACAGAAGTCTCAGTTAAACTAAAGCAAAAGTTGAACCCCAGTTCGAAAACTGCACCATCAACCCTACAATTGACTTAGTTCTCAACATATAAAACCTGGTAAATTATAAAATAGAAATTGAACGCACTTAAGCTATGTCAAACAAACATAATACCTTGTAAGTGAGGTAATGTAAAGTATTGTAAGTGATATACGTAAGTAATATGGCATGTTGTAAGTAACTTAGTAATTTGATGCAACGTTTTGTAAGTAGGTATGTAGTAAGTAATGTTTGTACGTAAGTAATATGGCGTACTGTAAGTAGGTAATGTAAAATAACACTTTGTAAGTGATAATAATTGTAAACATGTAATGCAGCGAATTATAAGTCGATTTTAGTACTGTGTTGTAAATTGAAAGCTTTTTAATGTGAGTATTCTGTAATTGTAATGTACTATATGCAGAGCAAATAAAAAAATATATTACTCAAGTGGACAGCGCACCAGTATCGCAGTTTTTATGGGTTAAATCTCATTCTAGTTAAAATTTACAAAAATATCAGAGGGACAATATCATGATAAAACAAAACGGGACACGTATGGCTGGGTAACATTGCATAATTGATACGTAAACAAACAACAAATTCGACTTTGTTAGGGGGGAGGGGAGTGGAGGGGCATGTTGTTCATGTTCTAGCTACTTTAAATTACCTGTGTGACAAGAAGTTCAATTCCCCAGCTGTGGAAAAACGCCACACGTGCTCGTAACAAAACCCGCATGTGACTCGTGGCATAAAGCCGGGTGGCCTGAAAATAATCATACAATAACTATTATACAAAACATCTTGTGCGTCTTTTTGTGTGTGTGTGTTTGAAACTATGTGCAAGGCTTACGAAATTTGTTGACTGACTGACTGACTGACTGACCGACCGACCGACCGACTGGCTGGCTGGCTGGCTGATTGATTGATTGATTGATTGATTGATTGATTGATTGATTGATTGATTGATTGACAGATCGCAGCTCTCTGAAAAGCTAACATCCACAGCGACTGCAACGTGAAATATTTTGCACTACAAGGTAACAATCATATCTGCATAGGTTGAGACTGACTAAAGACACATTTTTGTAACTCTACAGCCAGAAGAATATAACTGTTCGCTGTTACAACAGAAATAAAAGGAAAACATCTTCTCAATGTTTTTACCATTGGAGAAACCCTCGTGAAAGTTTAGAAAACTAAAATAGCTGTGGAAACCTTCCCCACTGACCTGTGTATCTGCGACTAACACTCTACAAACGGAATTACGGAAACGTCTTTTCTATAGCGGTAGGTAAATACACAAAAAGTCGTTCCTTACCGGACTGGAAGCTGTAAGTATTTTAGACAGTATAATTCTGGGAATGCCACTATGGCTGTAATCCAAACTTGCTATAATCAATTTCTGGAGGCTATCACGTGACGGTAAGGAGCACAATTCTAGCAGGCTGAATACAAAACAAAGAATGTATTATCAAATACTCTGCAGGAACAACCGTACATTTAAACATGTCATCTATTTTAGTAGGATTTCAGAAGCTAAAAACCATACCATGAAGAGCGCTACGATCACAGGAAATCCAACAATAACAGTTGGATTTTAAAATGACCAGGGCATTACAATATGAATGAACCTGATTTGGTAAGGGAAGTTTTCTATTCTCTTGAGTGGGAATAACCTGAAAGATGCGTTCTAGTTAATATTCGTATTGTTTGACGTGCCAGCATTTGAACAAGTTATTTTCCTTGTTCGCTGTTTTAGTTTGCCTCATGCTGGGGAAATCTCCGAGTCATCAAGAGAACATTTGGGTGTCCGGCATCACTACACCAACCAAACCCCGTCAGCGTTTGTTCCAATTCCCTTATACAATTGAAATTTTATTTCCCTTCGTTTGTTGTAGATTTTAATCTAAAAAACGGAGTTACCAACAAAGAGCGCCTGCGTTCCCGTAGTTGTCAGGAGTGTTTTGATACCTGGATGCACCAGGATTCCATGTGCCCCTGGACTAAGACGCGCTGGCAGCCTTCGCAGCGATAGCGTTTCCAGTGAGCGTTGTTTTGCATGGGAGCACGTCTTCAAGTATTCCCCCTCCCTTCCCTCCCTCTTTCCACTGTTAATTCAGTGTGACGGGTGCCTGTCCCCCTTCCCGCACGGGGGCTCATGGCTCAGTTTCCAGGATTCGCCAGCCGTGGGATCAGTCTTCATCTATGAGCTGGCTGCCAATAGTGGCAGCTCCTGGATGTCACAGACACCCATCCTCCATTTAGCGATGCAGTTGTTAAATAAAAATAATTAAAACATCAATATACTTACTACTGGTAAACCCCAGTCCTCTCGAGCAGTTTGGAGCCGACTTTGGTGTAAGCCAGTTTACCAAGAAACAAGAAGTAATCTCTACTGAGCGTGCTCAGAACATTGTTCTTACTCAGGACCCCAGTTGTGATGCTCGGAGATAGGGCCTGGAAACAAGAATCATCATATGACAAGGGCGTGATCAACAACAGTTCATAACATGAAATAATTTCAGGAATTACATGGACATAACCACATCCTACCAGAAAAAAGTGCTGTATAAACTGTATTTCGTGATTTTGTAGATGGCATGTGTTTCAGAATAGAGCTCTGCCAATCAGCATTGTTGTTAATTACAGAGTTATCATTTTACTAGCATAGACATATCTCAATGTTACTTCTTCCAGCAAGCTTGGTTATAATACAATACAACGACTTGTGGAAATTTTCTTTTGAGTAGCGTGGGTTACTAACATAACATCTTTCTCGGCACTCACTCGTGTCGCTTCCGAGTTTAAAATGTATCATCGTTTTTTCAATGGCAGCAGTAAATTGTGACATTTTATAAAAAAAAAACTGAATACTACGCGCGCTCTCATTGGTCGACAGATGTGTTTAGATCTTGGAAACCAACAAGATATTTTGAATAGTCTCAGATCAATCCAAACATTTACATGGATTAATTTTCCAAGTTTAGTTTTTAGTTCAGTATAATTTACGTTAAATTTTTCAAAACGAAACTAGTATGTGCACGTTCGCCACAGCCTACTCGACTTCCTATATTGTTCTTTTTGCACACTCCACTAGGTTTCTTTTAATACAGTTTTGTCATAGAAAAGGTTTCTTACAAGCTTTGAAGATGAACTGAACATGCGCAAGCCCTCACTGGTTGTTACTTGGTCACGTGGCGTATTTAAGCAAAATACTACTTCTAATATTTTTTTTAAAGATAAAGAGATATCCTTTTTTCATTTTTTTTATTAATATACATTGATTGGTAGTGAAACAACCATTTCAAAAACCGTGCTTATAAATTAGAAGAATCCTATTATCATAAACATCAGCATGCATATGGGACAGGAAAAAAGAGAAGTAGACGTAATATTTCTCAACCGAAACTAAAACTAAGGAGAAAACGGAGAAATAAAATCGTAAAAATCTATGCTTATTAAGATAAGATATCCAAACACCGTCACGGTCATGATTCCCTTTATTTAAACTGGATGAATTATTAATAAGTTTGAGAAAACTAGATCAAGCCCGACTTACTCGTTGTATGGGAGGGTGCGTCGCCAAAAAGGGATCCCCAGGGTATCAATTATCAAAGCAAATTGAGTTTGCATAGCATTGTCTATATCAGCCCAAAGAAGTCTTAAATTAGAAGTTGTTCATTTAAAGCCTTGTGATATAGAGAAAAGTATAAATTTGATTTCACTCTTGCTATTTCAAACTCCTACCATCTCAAACAAATCTTGTGCTTTCCTTCATTATTCTAAGATAAGGTTCCGCTGCATGCGGCTTAAAACGTGGGTGCTTTAAAAGTTATTTTTAACAGTGCTTACGTTAAGTATAAAGTTTAAGTGCTGTTTAACCATTTGGAGACATTTTACAAAGCCATTACCTTAGAATGTTGAAGAAGCACCTAAGAAAAAGCACAAATTAAATTAAATTATTTTTTAAAAATCAGTAGTCCTTGGCACACCACTTTAAAACTGTCCCTCATTTTAATTTACTGAATCAAACTCAGTTATTTACTTTCAGTTAATGGGGTTATTTCATATACAGCAGAAAGCTGTTATTTTCTAAACAAGGAATGCCTCACTTTACAAAAATTGCCAGTTCCTGATTACTTTCCAATAGTTTTGAATTACCTTTTCTACAGATATTCCCTTTAAGTTTATCAGGCAGATCCAAGTAGAGATTGCGTGACAAAGAAAGAGATTAGCATTGGCTGGGAGTTTTGTCACCCACTGGCTCAAGGAACTTGCGTGACATCCTTTCAGCCACTTTTTCAGCAAATGGATGAAAAATAACAACCGTAATTGGCTTACATGACTTCTTTAATCTTATAGTTCTTTATGTCCCATTTGTTAGAAAACCTCACATAGGTTTACTCATTTTCACTCATTAAATGTTAATAGTCATTTTAAAATTTCAATCTGCAGTGGTTGGCTATGTGTGCTATTATATGCAATCAATATACATGTACACCGAAGACATTACTCCATGAACACTAAAAAGCAATAAAATCATTTGAAGTTACCTCTTGTAAACATTCACCAATGTCTTGTACCAGGTCATGAAGCAGAAATCCCTCTGAGACCTGCTTGTGAAAATAAAAATTGTCAGTACAGCTGTAAGACTAAAAACTTGATGGATGGACAGACAGAAGGAAGGAGCGATGGACAGACAGATGGACAGACAGACAGATGAACAGATGGATGGACAGAATGGCTAACTGACTGATTAATTGACTGACTGACTGACTGACTGACCGACTGACCGACTGACAAACAGACAGACAGGCTGACTGACTGACTGACTGACAGACAGACTGACAGACAGACAGACAGACTGACTGACTGACAGACTGACTGACAGACTGACTGACTAACTGACTGACAGACAGACTGACTGACTTACTGACAAACAGACAGACTGACTGACTGATTGACAAACAGACAGAAAGACAGACCGACTGACTGCTGACTGACTGACTGCCTGCCTGACAAACAGACAGACTGACAGACCCACCAACCTAACAACCGATCCACCCACTGATTTGCAAGCGCATTTCCTGCTCATCCACTGACTCAACGATTATCATAGCAATTATCAATCATTATCAAACAGACACGTCTTACATCTTCACTAGCAAGAAGGAAGTCTATAAGCAGGCAGCCCACTTCTGTGAAGGTTCTAGCTTGAGGATCTGATATATGAACTGTGCAGAATCTCTGACTACTAGGCTTGTAGAAGTACAGAAGGTTACGAATAAACCTGAAAAATTAATTAGTATGGATAAAGTTGAGTACAATGGTAAGAATTATCAAGGCTGCGAGGTTTTGTCATCACTTCTCAAACTCATTAATAATTTATCAAGTTTAAATAAAGAAAATAATGACCATGACAGTGTTTGGATATGTGATCTTAATAAACACACTTAGATTTTTACAGTTTTATTTCTCTGTTTTCTCCTTAGTTTTACATTCAATTGAGAAGATATATCAAACACTCAAGACAATGTTTGACCACATTTCCAAACACCTCAAAGCCCATCAAAAATACTCTGCTGCGTGTCACATTTTCAACTCTCTTTTCAGCGTTTGGAAATGTGGTCAAACACAGTCTTTCCTGTTTGATACAGTGTATACTACTTTAAGCTACAGGCTGAGGCTCACAATAAGCGAGCCATGAAGATCAAAACAAGACGAAATTTGCTAAAAAAAAAAAGGTCAAATGAACAGTGCAGTACATAAACACGGCATTTGCATTACACATCATCAATTTTCTTTCCTGACAATCCTCTCTAAAACACAACACGGCATGTTTCTTCTATTCAATTTAGACTTGAATGATGCATTCATATAACTATCAGAAGGATAAATCATATGAAACTGATCAAGAATCATATGATAACATTGTGCACAAGACTATGTTTGGTGTTATTGTTTTAGATACTTTTAAAAATTTATCAATGGTGTAACTATTAATTTTTCTTCAGTATTATTGTCTAGTTTTAGCCTGTGGAACAGCTGGACGTGTAGACTGTCTGTGATGCAAGTTATCTAGTTTCTGTCTATGTTAATTTCAGAATCTTTACTATAGTTCAATCAACAGATTCATGATAAGAGAAATAAATATTGGTCATTGTTTTGCCTTTTTATTCCAAAAAGGTAAAATTTGAAACTAGTCAAAACATGGAGAGTGGACCTTTTTATAATTATTTGCCCTTTACTGTGAAAGTCAAAGGGCCATGAACATTTTGATTTGTTTTTGACATGCCAATTGTGTAGCCACCAATCAGATGTGAGATAAAAATGCACAGAAAGCAACCTTCAGAGCAATTTATAGGGCCTTTTGGTTCACTTTGACAACTTACCTTTGGTTGGATGTTTCTTCTAGTTTCTTCATGGTAACAGATGGAGACTGAAAAATAACCATGGGAAAAAAAGGAGAGTGACACATACTCATTGCCAACTATTAAGAGACAATTATCTGACAACATTGGCAGAGTGGCAGACTGTGATCACTAAAACAAGCTGGTTCAACAGATCACATGATTATAACTACAATGTTCATCAATCCTAATCTTGGGTCATGGATCACCAATTAAATGTTTGAGTCTCTGAATCAAACCCTGAGGTGTATGACTGCCCAATTCAAGTGAAACTTATTATAAAGCAATTAAATTTTGAGTACTTGGTCAATGGTGAACTTCTTTTTCTCTAAGCAAATTTGGTATTACAAAAAATAATTATTTGCTGGTAACAGTTTAAGCTTAAGCTAATGTACATGCACTCGGTCTCCTAGTTTTTGTTGTGAAAATTACCTGAAGAGTTGACCCGATAAGATCCCAGTCCCAGTTTCTGAAATCTCTCTCCATCATCACCTGACAAGTTATTAGTAAAAGTCTCTAATTATACCAATGTAATAATTTATACAGGATGAGAGGCACGGTGGCCTCAGTGTGCCTGGCTCTGGATCAAGTGGTCCAGGCTCAAGCCCAGATGTGGACATCGACCACTTGATCTGGAGACAAGCACACAAGCCGTGAGGCCATATGACTGTGCCTCCCACATCCACAGGCACATGTGCATGCCTGTTTAAAATGTCCCTTCTTATTAGCACTGAGCTGTACCTGGAGAACTGAATGCTCTATAATATACAAAGGGTATAGCAGGATATTTTTAATTGCTCTCAATCAGCCAACCATGTAAAATTAGCTGGGTCTGAAACTTACTCAGTTTTGCATGGTACACTGTAGATAAGAATATCCTTGTATAACAATAAGCACATAATGACTAGCCCCAAGGGAAACATTGAGTTTTGTTTCCCTGAGACCCTCAATGTTACCCTTGGTTTCACCTTGGGGGGACACAAAACTCACTGTTTCCCGAGGGGCTAGTCACTAAGTGTTTCGTTATACCTCTCAACTCAAAAGTAGAAAAAAACTGCGAAAAAATGATTTACTTGACGCCTACAGTGGCTGTGTCTGCAGTATGAGCGGCAGTCAAACCGAGCGGTCCTCCTGAAACGACAAAATAACAGTCTAATACTTAAGTTGCTTTGCCTTCTTCCAATGCTTAACTCAAGAATTCTGAGTTTGATTTGATGAGGAACAGCATATTTTGTTGTACATGACACAACTATTTTCCTGCCGGGCAACTGCAATCAAAGAGCGAGTTCCCAAACGCCAGTGACTCATTTTTAGGGTCAAATTAAAAGGTTGAAGACACAAAATGTTCAAATTTTCCCCTTTGTTAATCTGATATGTTTGTGCAAATTATAAAATAATCCTTTTTCTTGAATAATGAATGCCTTCTCTAGTGAGAAACGTTGCTCCACCTCAATGGCTTTTTGACATCAGGCCAACTGGCACTGCAACTGTTTCAGGGTGCACAACCTGATCACGTGCGAGTTGAAAGTTCAAGTTGTTGTTTCCCTAGGGAGTTATTGATTTTTGTTCGCCCTAGGGAGTTAGTGAGTTTTGACCCATGACACATGACACGCTCTCCTCCAATCGGAAAACATATTTGAGTTGGGAGGTATAACAATGGCTACTATCCTCCAGTCAGGTTAAAGTGAACCAAAAGAAAGGGACTTCAAGGTGAATGAGATTTAAGATCTAACAACAGCCAAAGTGGATGAAATAAAAATACATTTGTTAAACTATTAATCAGGTCACCTGTGTGTCTCGCAGAGCACCAAAAAGAGGATCATCAATATCCTGAAAAACAAAAAAACAATGAATTTTACAACATATTGTCGTTAGAGCATAAGCACAAGCACAAGACAAACAAAACTTTTTGCTCTGCTTGTGTTTGTGCTTATGCTGGTGTTGTAGACATCCTCACTTCCGTTATTCTTATGTTTGTGACATAGTGAAAACCAGGCTTAAAGGCATAATGAATCTGGCAACTCTTTAATAACTCACACACACCTGGCACAAAGACAAAAACCAAAACTTAAGAAGCTGAAAATGACTTACTTTGTTTAAACAGGCTTTCAGTCGATCTCTGTGAAGTTTGTCTGGTTTAACTTTGGGTTCCAGAGTGTGTGCCTGGAAACAAAGATACAATCTCATAAAAAAAGAGAAAGAAAAGATTAAATATGTACATAATCAGCTGTACATCTACACTCTGAAATATCATTGGCTGTATATTGAATAAAACATGTTATTTTCATGTGCGAAGAAATCTCATTTTTTTGTGAAAGGTCACCTGGTATTTTACTGGTTTTTATATAATAAACAAGGGCGTAGCCAGGGGGTCCTGGTGCCCGTGACCCCCCCCCCCCTTTTTGTATGCCTTTTTTAAGCAAACAACCTACAACAGGTGGTGAAAACATTACGACGATATCTTGGCCACCTCACTTTGACACAGTGTGACCCCCCCTCCCCCCCCCAGTCCCCTTTGAAAGATCCTGGCTACACCCCTGATAAAAGAGTATCTACAGAGAAACCACACAATAAATTATATTCCAATTTTCCAAGTGATTGATTTAGTCAGTGCATTTCATATTCTTGTAGAGTCAGATTTCCAAAAAGTATTACCTCTGAAGCAATGAAAAGCAATCCTGACATCAAAATGTGAAATGCCACAAATATGTAGATCTTGGATTTCATATTCTTCACACATATGCAGGCATATCACTCAATTTACACGATATTTGATCAAAAATGACTTAATGAAAACAAGATAGCTTAGAAATCAAATGTCAAGCTGTTTTGCAATAAAAAATAATACTGACAGAAACTAACTGACAGTTACTTGAAACAAAACCAAGAATTACCCTGTGCATTTTGTAGTCATAAATCGAAGTTCAAACTAATGTTAGTGTAAACTTGCAAAAATACTTTAATTACTTTAACCAGATAGGTAAGAAGCAAAAGGTGTTTTTGTCTGTTATCAGATGCAACTCTTCCACTTAAATACAGAGTGAAAACTCTAACACAAGCTACTTATGTGGTACCATGTGCTGATGAAGTTTTCTCAAAACAATTACCAGAATGTAGGTACAACATTACAACTTAGGGATACCTTTGAGACGATTCGATAAAGGTAAAGACTGCAGGGAACAAGGCCCCTTTTCTTAGTCTGGTGAAGTCGATCCAAGCAATTCACAGCTACACTAGCACGACTGAAACAAAATGAACAGCTTCAAATATATGTCACTTCATCAACAAGGAAAACAACTATGAAGGTGGCTATAGTAAAGGCTGGGGTTGTCATTGATTAGAAACTAGTAGTTTCCTACACCAATTTGGCCCCTACAGTGACCTTGAATAGTCACATTATAAACAAGCATATTTTTTGTACTGACAGAACAGAAGCAGATAATACAAATTAGAACAAGATGCCAATGTATAATTATGGTATCTATGAGGAGTATCGCTCAAAGGCTGGTATCAACAGTGTACTAATTTTTTACTGAACAGCAAAATACACTATGTAAATCAGTACATGTTCAAGGTGTCTTTCTCAAGATCAATAAACAAGGAGAACTTCAGGTTTGAACAAGGAAGTAAATTGCATTTGATTCACAGTTATCACTGGCAACTGCACCTACATGTAGTAAGGTTTTTTTTTTGGGCAAATTAAGTATAAATAAATATAATTGGGTTTGCACTTAGCTAATTTAGAAACAAGAAGAGATCTGGAGTGTGAGACAATTCTTGGGGACCGAGTTCTACTTCTCATCTTTTGCTTTGTCACCAATCTCATAAGCAACTGCGAAATGAGACTCGTCCCAGGTTTCTTCTCATTTCTAAAGTGTCAAATGATCAAGTTAACAATTCCATTATCACCTTCTCTCTTCACTGGTAACTTCAAATAAAGAAGCTGTATTGACCAACATGGGAATACAATGAGTGTGGCTGCTGCACTCTGGAGGAAGAAGAGTGTTGGCCTGCCAAGGAACAAACAACAAAGATTTCTAGACCAGAGAATCCTTTTTTCTGTATAGCTAGGAAGTGAAACTTGCTGTCACAATATTTGTACTGCATATTCTACAAAATTCTACATCATTCATATATGCTTAAGTAGACAGGAAAATGTTTTAATAATTTTTGATAATTTTATGGAAAATGACATTGGCCAGTAAATTCAGCATTACATGATTGTATATCTACACATGTATAATTCACTAGTCCTGGAAAAGAATTAGATGTTAAATTATGCATAACCTGACTGAAGTTTGTTGCTTATTATTAAGCACTGATCAAAAGTAACTCTTAAATCTAGCACTAAAGGCTGAGATGAATTAATTAAAAATCTCAATTAGCTAGGCCATTTTCAGCCACTCCTTCCTCATAAGGACTGCTGTTCCATGCAAGAAAACTTTCACATGCAATTTGCTTCTAGAGTTGAACTGTTTTCAATTAAAGTGCACGAACTAACCAGATGTAGCAGTTCTCCAAGAAGAATAGTAGCTCTGATAGAAATGAAAGGATCTGAAGATGTTATGACTTCTACAAGGCTCTGTAACAAAAGCACAATACAAAATGCTGTCAGTAATGTTATATGTAATTAGTAAATGATTGGTTAAAAAAAATACTTCCAAAACAAAGCAGGTCTGGAACAAAATGAAAAAAATAAATTCAGAGTACTTTTTTTGTTGGGCTTGCATCACAATTTTGTTTTTATGTTCAAGTTCTCCTTGGTCATAATTGAATTGAATTGAATTTCTATTCACATGAAAGGAGGAGGTAAAATTGCATAGAGGTCTGCATGACCTTTCCTTAAGAAATTACCTTTCTTTAATTAGCTTAAGTGGAGATATTACTTTTACTTTCTGAAATCATCCGGTAATTTCTTTAAATATTACTTCTGAGAATTCAGTGGTACAGCAAGACAATATCCTCTTATATTTATTACTTAATTGGTATTTTTTTATTTTCCTTTGGGTCAAATTAGATGTTGATCACCTCTGAATATTGAATAACAAAATATTTACCTCAAACAGTCCTGCATTCATAAATGCAGCTAAGACCAGAGCTATGTAGTTCTTCACAAGGTTTGTTCTAGAAACAAAAAGAACAAAAAAAGCTTGCAATGTAAAATACATAATAATTGGATGATTTTGTGAATAGTGGTAAGTACCGTATTTTCCAAATATCAGCAAATCAGACTTAACTGTGATGGTGCTATTGTTTCCCCTTTATTGGAGATGAGGATGAACAAATGCTACAGAATTGTCTGATAGTCAGAACCAACTGGAACATAAGGACTATGAAAAATTGTAGCCTACAATGACGTGTCAACTAAAACGTCCTGAAAAAATGTGTTTGCTTTCCAACTGAAATTTCCAAAGTTTTTAATTAGTTGGCATATACACCCATGATAATTTTATGAAACATTGAGGTTACTTCAAACCTTCGCAGGTGTCCTCCAGAAAAAAATTCATGCACGTGCTGTTTTCAAGGAAACCCCCACAAACTATACATGTATATCAATAGAAAGCTTATAAAATGTAGAATTCGATAACAATATGAAGAAGCTAGTCATAAAAGGGGATAAGTAACGATTTTGGTTGCTTTTCTTTTTTCTTGCTCCAAATTAGCTGAATTTTTGCATGTGGTCTTCAATGTAATAGAAAAACGTGNACTTATCCTCTTTTATGACTAGCTTCTTCATATGTTCTTTTTTGTCGACTACTTCCCTAAGGCGGCAGAAGCCGTTAACGCAAAAACAGCCGACTGAAATTCCAGCGAATTAATTTGGTATCAAATACGATCGTTGATGTAAAATAACTGTGCAGTGGTAATCACAAAGCATCAATCTCTCAACACGTGTCAGCATTTTCTTTCATTTCTATTGGTTATCTTTTTATAGATCTGTCAAGTTCCACTATCGAAAAATTCACATAACGTGTTGCATTAGAGACCGCCACGACAAAAGTATTTACAATAACAGAATTCGCCGACATGTCTTTGTTTCGTATCTATCAGTGAATGTTCTGGCCAAATTTCAAGGAAAACTGTCGATTCTACATACCCTATTAATTCATTTAAAGAGGAGGGATTCTCTTGAAAAACGAGTGCAGGTTTTCGCCTTTTAAAGATTTATAAACATGTCTCGCCTTCTCAGAGGGATATGTCAACTCAAAATGCCGCCAGCCAATGAAATAACAGAACCCCTAGCGTTCACAGTGAGGAAAGTTGAGCTTCGCGGTAAAGCGATAGTGTTACAGACACGTTTTAGACGCATACGTGTTAGGCCAGTGGTCAACAATAAAGGGCAAAATGGAGAAAAGCGATGTGCAACAAAACAAAAAGAAACTGAGGGGCAATTGCCAAAGCATGATTACAAAAAGGCACTCTTGACAGACATGAAATCTCAAATTGACAGTATTTGATATATGATCTCTGGATTAAGCTGTTTTCTACAAAAAGGTCGCTGAAGAGTCCATGCCTTTTGGGGATTATGACACCTTGAAGGTTTATTAACTTTTACTAAAAAAAACCTCTTTTTCCCAATAACTCGTGCACGTTTTTAATGTTTTATTTTCATTTTTTGGAAATGTTGCCTTGAATAATGAACTTTAATTTGGTTGGAAAAAAGAAAATTTAGAAAAAGTAGCCCCACGAAGGTTTGGAGTAACCTTAAGAAAGTATTTCCTAGGCAATCGTTGTCAGCATCATGTCACCTGTCATCCCATGCATACATATATGTATGCCTCTCTTCTCACCCATTTCATGTGTGGCTCGACCCCACAAAAAATTCAGTTAATCCACTATTAGAGTAGAATCGCCTGATTATTTGAAACAATCACTTGCAAAATGCTAGGTAAATTTGGTCCTTAATTTTTCAAACCTCCCCCAGTTTCCATTCCCATAATCAATAAAGACTTTGTGGGAATAAAATCTCAGACCATTTTAAATTGAATGCAAGGGAAATACACATTTTCCAGTTGAGAGCAAATTATCTGTTAGCTTTACAGTGAGGAGAAACAAGATCCTGATCATCTTTGGATTCCACAATTGACTTACAGATGACTTAGAGAAGCACTCTGAGAGAGATAAATGTACCTTCCTGTAGCCCTGTGTGGCAAAAGTGCTTTGGCTTCTTCTGCAACAAACCCCTCAGATAATTTCCAGTTATCTTGCATTTGACAAGGATCTGAAAGGTGTAAATATGACGAACTTATTTAGGAATTTCCATCACACATCTTATACTGCTGATGCAGGCATTTTTAATATTTATTATTTTTACTGAAATGTTCTGCTCGTCTTTTAACCTTTTCAAAAGCATAACATTCAAGTACCATTTCTCATTAGAATATTGATTACATGTAACACCTCTTTGTAACAGTTCAAATGCACTTGACAATAATCATTACATGAGGATAACTTGCTTTTCAAATTTAGACCAACACATGCTTGTGATAAGCAGGAAAACTGATTTTCTTTTCTCTTTCTTTTGGGGTAGTATCCTTACCGGGGGAGGGCAGAGGGTATTCCCTTGTATGAGCTATATAGGTATGTGTGGCCCCAAAGGGTATGGATTTTCAGCCATTTTGGTCATAAATAGGGTTAGTATTGATTTTAGCCTATTTTGGCCATTTTGGTCATAAATACACTCTGTAGGGCATGGCTTTTGCACTCCAGCCTTGATATAATAAATAATAATAAATAAATATTTATATAGCGCCTATCCATGCCTGCTCTAGGCGCTGTACAATTTGCCAAAATGATCTGTACTAATCTTAATAATTAAAAATGNGACTTATACACGGGAAAATACGGTAATTGTTAACAAAGTTTGAGTTGTCCAGGCATGATTGGTTATCCTCAGAAGCAGACAAGGACTCAACTTCATTCTCTTAGTCCTTTTCTTCCCGAGAAGGGCCAGGGAATGAGGCCGAGGGCAGAAGAAGAAACTCAGCGATAAATTCATCCAATACTTGCTTGTTGTTACCCGTCTTTAAGATGTGAAATAATCGGGGCCTGTTGTTGGTTGGATCACCATCCATGTTTGGCATGTTGAAGAACTTGACCAGAGCCTCAATGGTACATTGTACCTTGGTAAAACACTTACCTACACTCATGAAAATAAATAAATAAATATTTATATAGCGCCTATCCATGCCTGCTCTAGGCGCTGTACAATTTGCCAAAATGATCTGTACTAATCTTAATAATTAAAAATGTGCATTTAAGAAAGTAATAGAAAGTAAAAATCACTAACTGTTCAGAGTTCTCATAGTGTTCGACATCTTGAGTTACATTTGTGCATTGCAGCTCTTCTCTAGAAAAATGCATGGTACCTATCTCTCTCCCTGAATTTTTGTAGAGCTTCTTGAAACCAGGTATAAAAACACAAACAAAATGTTGTTGAGCATGAATAAACCTAGGGAACCTAATCTTTGAAATTTTTGTTTTTGAGAAAAACATGAAAATTTATAAGCTTCATCTGTATGCTGATGTTCAATTTTAGCCCTGTGTATAACAAACTGAAAAATATTATTTTTAACTGATCTTGATTACTATGACAGTTAGTTGGAAAGTGTATTTTTTGGAGAGTGTATCAAGTAGATAAAAAAATTACTGGTGCTATCCTGTGTTGACAATGAATGTACCTTAAGGAAGCTCCTTTTAGCATCCCAATCAACAATCCTAAAAGGGTAAAGATGATCGAGGCTATCACTGGCAGTGTGGCATCCTGCTTTTAAGTCAAACTTGTCAACTGGTCTCCAAAGCAAGGAATTTTAATGTTCACAAGAGGATCATCTGTGGTAGGGACTGGTGGAAGATGTGATGATGGCTGGTCTGGTCTGGATGGGGCTACAATGGGTGGACCTGGTGGAATATGATCTTCTTCAGCAGGGTTACAAATACCAGCTTTGGCATAAATTTCATGGACCCAAGCCTCAAGCTGATTCAATACATCTACTAAGTCTGAATATTTCTTCTCTTTGATGAGTACTGGTAGAGGCACAACAACAGACTGGGTTCTCTTTTCAGCTGAGTACTGACATGCTGTATTGGCTAGGAGAACATCTTTTAGCAAATTGAAAGCAGGAAATGACTCGTGTAAAATTATTCTGAAGAAGATTTTATCACGTTCTCTCATGCATTGGATCTCTATGAAGTTGCAGTCATTAGGGTTTTTCCTAGGGCCATTGTCTGGTCTTTTGCTGGCAGAGATTCGATGAAACACCATACCTGTGGCTACAGCATGCATATTTCTGTTTTGTGAGTCAGATTGCATGTCATGGACCGTGACATCCCAGTCAATATTGTCCAATACCAAGACAAATATTTTGCCCTCCTTTAACAGTTGCACTCCATGGTCCAAGAAGTGCTTCCCAATTTTTTCTTGGATTGTGTATTTCATTGACTTTGAGAGGCACACACCATACTTGTGTAACCTGTCAACAAGCTGGAAAGAAATTCAAAGAAGCAAACTACAAGTCAGAAANCCTTCACATATTATGTTTACGGTAATTTAACATTGGTCTGAACTAGGGAACTTATTATAACACAGGTCTAAAACAGGTTTTGATTTAATGGTCAGGTCATAAAAAAGGGTATCAGATAATAAATAGGGTAGGGAATATTGCAGCTTCTAGTCATAAGTAGGGTAAGAGTCTTGGGAAGCGGACTGCACACCCCCACCCAACTTTTCTGGTANCCCCCCCCCCACGAAGTATCTTATACCTCTTACACTGTACCAACTGAGTTTAAGGTCCATACTGCAAGTTACAGACTCAGTTTTTTTCCCCTGCGATTTATGGCCCTAGCGTGAAGCGTGCGGGCCATAAATTGAAGGGGGAAAAATGAGTATCATTCCACAACTTACAGTACGTACCAAGAAGATGAGTTTAGTAAGATATTTATTATAGCTCTACTGTGTTTCTTGTGGAGGCATGGTGGTCTCATGGTTAGCTTGCTCACCTCCAGATTGAGTGGCCTGGGTTTGAGCCCTAGCCAGGGACATTGTGTTGCATTCTTGGGCAAGACACTACTCTCACAGTGCCTCTCTTCATCCAGGTATATAAATGGGTACCAGCAAATCAAATGCTGGGGATAACCCTGCGATGGACTAGCATCCCATCCAGGGGAGATTGGAAAATTAATACTCCCACACTGGTCATTTCATGCTAGTGAAATTGCATATACTGTAAGTGCCGACCTGATGGGCCACTTGACTCGCATGCAGACTGTGTGTCTGACGGGTTCGGGAACAATTTCTAATTCTGCAGAATGGCTTCAAATTTCTGACGCACATCAAAAACAAAACAAGTTGATTTGAAATCATTGTGAGGTTGTTAGCATGTTTTAATACACAATTTAAAGCAAAAGAGAGGTTTAAACTTTTACTTCCTATAAAAGTTACAAACTCTTGGCCATAAATCACAAAAAAAGCTTTACATTTTAGCAGGCCGTACAGCAGAATATGGTCTGCTCAATTGACCAATCACAGTGCACATAGTAACTGAGAGATATAATAATTAAAAGTGCATTATTTTAATTGTTTAATCTTACCAACACTAAGAAGAGCAATATGAAAGTCATCTGTCCAATCAGGCTCCTTCAGCTGAAAGATCTCAAACAAGATATCCATGATTCCTTTCTACGAGCAGAAGAACACAGGGTTATTAGATCCACAGGTAAAGTGTGCTACAAAGCTAAAAGAGCCTGTACATTTTATAGGGCCTTGGTCACTCTAGAATCACGCCATGTCAAAAGACATACCAATAGCTTAAGTCTGCTACAAAGTTAAAGGAGCCTGTCCAATTTAAAGGTGCTTGGTTACACTAGAGCACATCATGTTTAATTAAAGGCCTACCAAAAGGTCATGCAAGGGTTTCAATAAGGTTTTAAACAGAAGACAAGAACTGCTGTTTTAGAGTGGTTCAATGGTGTAACAGGTGTATGAGCAACAGGTGAAAAAGCTATGTCACCTAGCTGGACCAAAATCAAGGACAATGATATGCTACATACAACGAAGTCCAATTGTGCAACATGTAAGCTTGGATTTCGTTTAATTCAAAGTGACCCTTTCCACAAACAGACTGTCCCCCCATCCCCCCTTCACTATTCTAAACAAAGCTACAAAAGGTGTCCCAAAAAATGCCCATACAGTAGATGTGATGAGTTTCAATTCTGCCCAATATTATATTCCAAAGGAAAATCAAGCAAGAGTTTGGGGTGTTTGCTTTTGGTGTGTTTCTATTTTAAAAGCAGTCAGGATACATATATTATGTACAACTGTATACCCTTGCTATGATGGTGTTCATATAAATATTAAGTTGTTACCCTAACATCTGAGTTTGGCAAACAAAAAACTCCCAGCAGTGACTGAACTCCTTTACCATCAGGACGGCACAGGCTGATAATACCTAGAATAAGAACAAAGTTACAAATACAAAGGTCAGCATCAGAATTCAAACTTGCTGAACATGAACAGGCTAATTAAAGTGCCTATGAAATTGAAAAATATGTGGTGGGCAGCTGCTTATTTGAAAGGTTTTCAAAATAAGGAAGAATGACGTTTTCCTTTTTGGGATATCTTTTTTCATTTTAAAGATATCGGCGTTTTTGTTTTATGCAAATTAGGAAAGTGATATCATAAGTAGTGCAAGTAAAACAGTGAAACAATGAATAAAGAATGTCTCTGGAAATATTAGAGCAGTGTTCTTCAAAATGTACATCACAAAAGAAACAAAATTCCAAATTTTAACAGTACCCTCAGTTAGCACAACAGTGCCAAATCTACTGATACCTAAAAGTCATTTATTTTACCTGACCAAGATCTAAAAATTGTCACAATGGCCATTTTACTAGCTTGTAACCGACCAGCTCTGTCTTCCCTTAAAACAAAGAGAAAGAAACTGCAATTATCAACAGAAGAAACTCAAAGACATTTTGTCAATCAGTAAGTAGGGCAAAATAATTCAATGCTCAATGATTAATTTGGTAATCTGTTGTACATTTTTAATTTAAAGTTAAACCTCCTGCAATTGGATACCCTCAGGACCTAAAAACTGTCCACTTAAGTGTGAATAGGAGGTAAGCAGATGCTTAACAATTACAGGAGATTTTCAACACATTCTAGCAGATGCTTGACCATATTTTATATTTTTCATTATTTCCAGTACAAGTCACAGCGGTTTTTTCAGCTAAAATTTCAGCACATTGGAATACTTAAATACTAATTTCCTCAAAGAATGTTGCTTGTTAAATTAGCCCAGATTGCCTTTAGCTTCCTACATGAAAATACACTTAGGCCAACTGGCCTACAATGCCAGAGCTCATTCTAGTTTTCAAAGCATGCAGTGATTAACTATAGTCAAGAGTATTACTGTCCCTGCCTCTGAATGGGATGCCAGTCCATGGAAGGCTAAACCTCAGCATTCCTTCACATGACCCTAGCAGCTCACTAGTACCCATTTATACTCATGGGCAAAGAGAAACATTGTGGGAGAAGAGTAGCAAAATTTTCCTGCTTACCCTTTGGGAAAACTCTAACTAGAATTTACTCAAAAACATTCTCCCAAGAAACTTCATTCGCAACTCAGGAGAGTGACAGACAGAACCATTAGCTCAACAGGAAAATCCACTATTGGACATCCTGACTTTCTTTGCACACTAAATGATGCCAGCCATGGCCTGTGTCACTCTAACCACAAGACAAGTGTACTAAGCATTACATCATAGGTCACTTGACAACCCAGACATCCACCAATGGTGCATGCTGTTTACTGCTTTAACTGATAACATGTTCAAGATTGCACTGAAGTCTTAAAAGGTGCTGTAAGTTGTGGTTCATACCCTCAGTACAACTTGTTATTTTCCATCATTAGTACCATACACCAGTTGAACAAAGAAAAATACTCCATTTATATTGAAGCCAGGGTAAAACTGAACTGCAACAAAGCCACTTACATGTCCTGCAACTGTCAGCCTAATATGTAAACAAATAATCTGAGCACACATAAATGGAAAATCAATTACTTAACCATTGCGTATTGTTACCTTAAATGTGTTTCTGATGTATCAGGATTGTGTCTGTAGTGAAGATCAGTAAATGGAGCTAAAATGGACTACAGATTAAAAAACAAACAAATTTCTATTAGATAAAAGATGTGACCAAGGACAATAGCTGAATGGAACAAACTCCCAGAAGAAACTGTTACCAGTCAATCTCTCTCTATTTCTAAAAGTGAACTTGTTAGGTTATTTTTAATTGCAATTTTTATTATTTTTTTTTTGTGTAGTTTTAGTTTTTATTATCATTTTAATGTTCCAGAGTTGGCATGATGTCCTCTGGATGTTGCTGATGTAATAACATTTAGATTTAGATTTAGATGTACTGTACATATAAGCCTCAAAAAGTTAGGTTTGGAGGAAATAACACCAACATTTCTTTAAGAATGTTAAACTTTAAATGTTTGATGTATATAGTAGTCAATGCGCTTCTTATCAGGCATGTCACTTAAACTGAAAGGAACAAATATTCCAAATAAACACAATAAGCTTAAAAATCCCAACTAGCGGGAGACAGACCAGTTGGTTATTTGAAAACTGACCAAGGAGATATGAGAGAGTGGGACTAAAACTCATGACCTCCTTATTTGAAGTCCAGCACCGTAATCACTTGGCTACGCTACATCCAACAGCCATGCTGCCTCCAAAGCTGTATCCAAGCTTAAGTTAATCCTACTGTTCTTCATCCAGGGCAAGGAGCCAGAAGTAGTTAGCAATGACTTAATACACTGTCCTATTCTGCAAGGTCTACTTTGAAGACTAATAATAATTCATGGACAGCTGCTGGGTTAGCCTACTACATAATTAATAGAAACAACATATATCTCTATTGTCAAGTTCTCCCAGAAATATATAAGATTTGTACAGTATTTCTACTGGATAGGTATACTTGTATATGTAATTACACAAGTAAACAGTTAAAAACAAAGCTAAAAACCAATAATTGTACACTTAAAAGTTGGACACGTAATGAAACTATCAATCAAATCACCTTCAAATTTTTATTATGTAACATGACGTCATGAAATTATAAATTAAACAGTTCAATTTAACCATCCAACATAATATACCTCTAATCCAACATCAGCACGTACATAAGGCCTTGTTTCAGGGCTGCTCAAGAGATACAGTAATGTGGCCATCAAAGATTCATTAAACTTCTGCATCTGTTGAGATGAGATCACCCCGATTAATCAATCAATCAATTCAATCAATTCTGTTTATTTGCCTTTTTACCTAGTATGGTAGTTATTTACAACTATTTCAATGTATGGCAAGGTGACCACTAGAAACCACCAGGCTTTTAGGGTTAACAGGGCTGCAGTGGCATAGACCTTGAGCTAAGGGTGGGGGGGAGGTTGTTTTTCTTGCCCTGCCGGCTTTTCTTCCTTCTGCGATTTCTTCTTTTTTCACTCAAAATAAGCGGGGGCTGGATCCCCTGGGCCCCTCCCCTAGACCCGCCACTGGGCTGTACATACATGTCTTTTCTGACCATTCCACGGCTATAATTAAGTATTAAGTCACCTGTAGCCTTGATCTTCACACCCTTAACAAACTTGTCCTCTTTCGAGTGATTTGTCTCAACTACAGGCAAGTTCACCCATAACATCAAGGGCCCATCAAACATACCCAGCCATAGCATGTACTACGGGTTATGGCCCTTATTGACAGCTCTGACTGATTCAACCAAAAGAAACATATCCTCTTACAAGTTTAACCAATTGTTGATGAGCTAAATAATATCATGATTGGAAATCTTTGTCAATGTATCTTTAAAGATGGCCCCATCCCTGAGTACTGCATGGTTCAACATACCTGAGAGTCTAATACATTTCTTATGATAGTGTTTATGCCACCACAGTATGATGCAGTTGTGATGTTCTTTATGGCTGTATTAACAATTCAAAGAGATTTGTAATGGTTAACACTACTACAACTTACACATCTACTGGTTGGGAATCAATGAAAATATTTTGGATGACAATTTGAAAAGCAAAAAATTGAGGACTGCACTGACTGTCCACCTTTTACAAGTATTACTGCAGCACTGCTATTAACATTATACAATGTAAGTCAAACAAGTATAAGAAAAATGTTTCCAAAGGTGCATGGCTTAATTTCAACCACATACTGCTAAAAAGAAGGTACTTTTAAAGCTTTAAAAACAAGAAATTGAAGACAAAGGTTTACATGTATGGGTTGACAACTAGCAAAATTCACAATCCACTTCAAGCTAAACAGTCTAAAAGTAATACCTACAATGTACTTTTCTGAAACAATTTTAATGATAAAGTTCTAATCTAGATGAAACTGTCATCACCTGCCTAATTAGCATTTTAAAAGCTACAGCTGCATTGAAACTTCTTCCAATTAACAAGTGGATTGCCAGATGAATAGACAAAATAATTGAGAACATTAGTTTAGCATTGTATAATAAAATTACTAATAAAATTTTTGTTTTCACCTGATTAGTAACAACACAGGAAAAAAGACTTAACTAAATTACCTAATTCACAGAGGGTGGCTACACAAGCATTTCGAAGCCTATCAGCATCATCACCTTCATCATTACCAACTGACACAAGAGTGGCTGCCATGGACATTGGACACAACTGGGGACTAACAGCAATCACCTAACGAGGAAAACACACAATCCTGATACAATCCTAGCAATTGCAAAAAACTGGATAAAAAACTGTGTCCAATTACAAACAAGTCTAAGGACATAATATAAATGCTATTCATCATAACTCGTGCACCAGTCTAACTATTTTCTTAGCTATATTCTATCCAATTCAAGTACACAAGTCTATGCAAGTTGGTGGCACATAGGCGAGCAATACAAAAATACCTAAATTTTGCATTTTACAAATATTGTGGTTACATAGTATAGGCTGGAGAGTTTGAAGTTTGATAGGCCTTGACACAAGCTTTCACACCCAAAGTAGAACACAGTACGTATGGTAGGTATTGTTTCATTGTTATTAATAAATAAAAATAAGTACTGAGACAAATCTTCAAACAAGCCATTCATTTGTTTAAAGAACTACCTAAAATTAGACTATATTTTAACAACTCAATAAACCAATACCCACTCTCTTGTGGTTTGGGTGCAAAAGTTAGCATTACAGTGTGGCAAAACTCTAATGACTGATGACATATTGTCCATGCTTTGATAGCCAGTCACAACATGTTTTTTTTTTATGACATGTTCACCCTTGGATGAAATTGATGATAATTTGGTCAAAACTCTTCTTTGTGTCTACTGAACAACCTTGTTATGTTTGTAGTGCAGTTCATCCAAGCCAAGTAAACAATTTTTGCAACATTCATTTGATGAAAACCAGCTTCACTAACACACCTTGCGAATGAATCTTAATGCCTGAACACGTTCCACCTCAAATGCATGTACCATATCCATGGACCTGTAATATAAACATGACTGTGTGGAAAACTCCTTGTGTAGAGCTTGTTTGTTTTCAGTTCATCAAATTATAAACAGAAATATGGAGGGAACTAATAACAGGGGCTTACCCAGAGGGTGTCAAAAGGGATTACATGTATGCATGACATGTAATGAGGGCAGAAATGAGTGTGTGACGAGTGAAAGGCAACTACAAGACATTGGGCAATTTGCGAATTTCTGAAACAGAAACACTGTTAAAATAAGCCAAAAGTATGTGACATGCAAAGCAAGTATGTGACTTTGCTTTGCTACCCTCTAGCTAGCTTTTTGGAACAGAGCTGACCTACATCTGGCAGGGGGATCTAGAGGTATGTTACGTTCACAGTGAATTGTTTCAGGTAATAAAACTGCACCCTGAAATATTCTTTCCCCTTAACTTTGTGGTAATTTTATGATTGAATGTGTATTTTGACAACACCTAAGTCTGGACTATCCTCTTCTATATCGATGTTACACATTCGGCATCAAAAATTCTACAGGCTTCCCTTTAATTCTAACTATTCCATTGATTGTGTAGTATTTTAAAACCACTTTACCTGACAATGAAGATGTCAATCCTGAATTCAAGCATTTTAGAAAGAGTTTTCTCGTCAGAAAACAGATGACGAAATGCCCTCAGTCCTGCTGCTCTCAATTCCTTTGCTGTTGAAACTAGAGGCAGCATTAAGCTACAAATTAAAAAGACAAAAAGCGAAATATAATTTGTCCTTGTATCATGCAAAATCTTCTTAAACTAAGTTGTTAAAATACAGTTTGAAAATATTTCTATTGACTACCTACTCATTATGATACAGAGCTTCAACTGAGAAGAGAAGCATTAAGTGGCAGTCCCGCTAAAAGCGGTCCACTCGACTTCAGGACCAAAAATAATTTTCCTTCATTTTTTGTCAGTGAAAAGGGTTTGACACATATAGATGAAAAAGCAATTTATTATTTTCCAATTCCTTATTTTTGCTTTGCTACGAGCCAAAATTGAATTTTGGCTGA